GGGGGGCCCACCCTACAGCCTTTGCCTGAGAGGGGGGCGCCCTACAGTGCTTCCATTACAGGGGAAGCCAGAGCAGGGGAGCTGCGCTCCGAGTGCCAGGCAAGTGGCCTCCTCACTTACCCGGCAGGCCCAGGATTGTGTGTGTGGGGGGGTCAAACGGGGGACATGCGATGGGCCGGCTGCACCACTGGCATTCAGGACTCTGCCTATCCAGTCACCTGGCGCCTGCCCTGAGCTCCCCGCGCAAGGCACAGAAAGGCCAGTGCAAAGGCCAGCAGCAGGAGGGGGCACGTGGCAGAGGCTGCCAGGCTGGCGCGTGGTGTGAGAGAAGGAGCGTTGGTCCCGCTATGGCCGGCCAGCAGCGAGCACGTTCCGGGCACTGGGCACAGGCTGAGGAGCGCTAGGCAGAACAGCAAGGAAGGGTCCTGATACCTGCAGGGAAGTGGCTGAAGGAGCAGCTCAGTGACACCTACCGTCCTCATCAGTGCGCACATGCACCGGGGAGCTCTCTGGTCCAGGCCCCACATCTGTGTGGGCCCGTACCCACACCTTGTACTCTGTCCATTTCTCCAGGTCCTTGATCTCCCAGCTGGAGCGCTCCCGTCCAATTCCATCCACTACGTGCTTGGCGCCGTCCTCTGCGTCCACCGCCTGGTAGGCAATGGAGTACTGCGTGATGACCCCATTGCGGCTCTGAGCAGGCGGTGGCACCCAACTTACCCGGATGGTAGTGGAGCTGGTGCTTACACACTCGACTTCTTGGGGTGGGGCGGAAGGGGCTAGGGATAGTGGGGAGATGAAGGGAAATGAGCGGAAGGAGAAACAAAATGTAGAGGGAACTCTTACCCAGCCAACTGAGCACTGAAGTAGCAATGAAATACAGCCGAGAGCTGTGCAGACTCTCCCACTCCTTCTTTAGAAGTCGTTTGGGGCAATCTGTATCTGACGGGCAGCATTGCAACACAATACTGCCTCCCCAGCTGCCTGGGGTTTCATGCAGTGACAGCGTTAAACAGCATGGAGAGGGGGAGAGAGAGACATGGGGCCAGGGAGAAGAGAGATGTTTTCAACTGAGATGTGAAACAAACAGAGCTGAAGAGGCAGCAAAATCCCAGAAGGCTGAAGCGACAGAGGAGAAGGCTCTTGCAGCAGAAGTGGGGACACTGAGCGAAGGGCAGAGAGGAGCCTGGGGCTAGCTGAGGGCAGACCCAGCAGGAGAACAGAGAGAAGACGCGTGGAAGACTGGCTAGAACAAAATCTAGAGAGGGAACTGGGCACTGTATCCTGAACCGGGACGGGAGCCTGTGGAGCTTTTGAGGCTGGCAGGGATGTGGGCTGTGCTTGTCCTGTGAGAAGGGACGTCTGGAAATGGGCCCAGCCTGTTCATTACCTGTCAATGGGCTTCAGACCCCACCCCACCCTAGCCTCATCCCCAGCCTGTGGGGGGGCGGGGAGGGCAGGCAAGGTTTCGCTTCAAAGTGGACGTGAAAATCATCTGCCTCTAACAGTAAGTTCTGAGCCACGCCAGCAGGAACGATAGCTCCGGGCTGGGGACAGAAGCTGATGGGTGGCCTGTTATGAAGGTGACCAATACACAGGTGCCACCCAGCCCACCACTCCTGGCCTTGCTGGGAACGAGGAAGGAAGAGACTATGGGGCAGGAGGGGAATTAGCGAAGGACAACGACCTGCAGGAGGTGCTGACAGGTTACCCACCGCCCGCAGTGAGGCTCTGCAGTGCTCAGGAACTGAAGGAACGGGCGGGCCGGGAGAGAGCACAGGCACAGATACAGCACACAAAGCCGAGTCTCAGCAGCCCAGACGACAGTCAGAGGGAGGACAGAGAAGGCAGAGGGAGAGAATGGAGTCTCAGGGACACCTCAGAGGCGGTGCCTGTGAACCGAGGAGCCATGAGGCTCCGGGAAGCCCTTCCCTTCCACCACCGGCTGGAAAGGCCAAGCAGGCAGGCCAGCATTCGCTCGGACATTTGCTCTCCACAGCGTCTCCTGGGACCTAACACGAGGAGCTGCTGTAATAAGGGCCCTCTCTGCAAGGCAGCACAGGTAGGCGTCTCGCTGGCCTTTCCATCCTGCCTGTTGGCTGGGTAAGAGTCACACAGACAATGTGCAAAACACACAAGCAGTCGCTTAACGCTTAAGGGAAATAAAATAAAAGGCAGTAACATAAGCAGGGTCAACTTAAATCACCCCCGGCATGGAAATGTCCATCCCCTGCGCTGGGCAGGCAGCAGGGCCGGCTCGCACACACACACACACCCACGCACGCACCACTCCCCGCAGACACACCGCTGCCTCCACTTCACAGCAGGCGGAGGGCCAGGAGACTGCATACTGCTGCCCGGCTTTGGGCACGAGCGGGCCTGTGCCCCTACCCAGCTCAGAGGTTCCTTACCAGGGGAAAATCTGCCCCAAGCACCCTGGCAAATCTGGAGGGAGAGCAGCTTGAATTGGGGAGGGTGAGAAGATCTGTGGGTCCTTACTCCATCCGCCTCCCACACCTGCTTGGGGGACCATCAGTCCCTTTAAATTCCAGATCCCTTTGCAGAACCCCAGCAGGTGAATTTAAACTAGTTTCCTAACTAGTCTCTCACCAAGCACAGGGTGGACCCCGCCCCTGCTTCTGCAGACACTTTGTGCTCCCACCGCCAGGGCCGTCTCAGATTGGCAGGTGACTCGTTGCTATTCACCAGTACACAGACTACTTCCAAAACAGGTCCCCCTGCAGCATCCAACATTCCCCCACCCCCCGTGCACTGCCAGGCACAGCTCAGGGGTTCCTCTGCTAAATTATACCCCAGGTCTGGTGCTGCTGTGGACTCCTGCAAGACTGTATTGATTGCTGTGAAGTGTCCGAGCAAAACTCAACTCAACCAAGCACTTCGGAATGGAAAACTCTTTGCCCAGACACTTCAGGAGCTGAGCGTCCTATCTGTGCTGCTGGAGGCTACGTTAAGAGGCAGCACATCCTCCTCTGTTTCCTGTGTGGACATGTATAGCTGCGGAAGGTGACCCCTGGCCCCAGCCCCTGGTCTGTCAATGAATGCTGGTTCCCTCTCTGCAGAGCACTCTGGTTTTCAGAGCCTTCCCGGCAGGGGGAAGCCCAGCTAGCAACCCATAATGGTCTCGTTAAGGACTGGCCTCTTGCTTGTCGGTGCCAGGAATATCGCCTGAAACAGGCTCTTCAGATCGTACACGTCTGACTGCTTCTGCTTGCCGTTCTCTGCCATCTAAACGCCTTTTCCAGGGCAACCAGATGGAACGGCAGAGGGGACAATCACTTGAAGTACAGATGAACAATACCCATTTTACGGTCAGAGGGAACCTATCTGACCTGCACAGCAGGCCAGAGAATTTCACCCAGTGATTCCAGCATCAAGCCCATCACTTCAGGCTGAGCTAGAGCAGGCCTTTTAGACAGATGTCCAATGCTGACTTCAAGACTCCAAGTGACAGAGAATCCACTACACCCCGACGTTGTCTAGACCTCAGTTGCCCTTGGGGCTCTTTTCTGAGCCCTTTTCCATTTGTCAGCACCCTTCTTGTGGTGTGAACACCCGACCTGGGTAACTTTGCTGTCTCTGTTAAGAAAGCCAAATCTCTAAGAGGGTGACTTTGGAAGTGCTGGTGAGTGGACGGTGTGTGCAGAGTAGGTTAGGAGCCCAGAGAGCAGGTAGGGGTCTGCTCCTCCCTGAGGAGTCTGTCTCCAAGGAGGGGCTTCTCCTAGTCTGACTATGGCAGGGCTCCTCAGGGCCTGTCTACACCCGGAGAGCTCTTGATGAACAGACTGTGTGGGGACAGAATGCCTTGCTCCTCGTTAGCTAAATCCCATCGACACAGCACTTGGGGCCTGCGTCCGTTGCCTGTTTGGCTTTGTTAGCTGAGGGGCGGAAGAGGTGTCCAACCCTTTGTCCATCAATGACAGAGTGGCATCAAAACCAGCAAAAAAATAAAATGACAAATCCCCATATTCAGAGCACATTCTCCAGCGTTCAAATATTTATAACGGCTTGAGCTGAGCTTCTCTCTATATTTTATGTCCAATCTATTGCTCAGGCACTAAGATTCCATTAGCCGGAGCGCTAGTTTAACTGGGCTGCTGGGATCTTGGTGATTGATATGCTAATGGGGGGAAGGAAAAAACAGGGCTGCAGCCTTTCCTTGAAGGGAAGGTCATTCTAATCATGAGTGGCACCGCTGCCCTCCTGCTCTGATGGCCACCTCGGCCTAGCCAACGCAGCAGGAACAGGAGACGCTCTCCATGCAGAGAAAGCCGGCTGCCTTCACCAACTGCTCACCCCACATGGTCACCAAATCCCAGACAGACGCTCCTTCCTCCCCTTTCAATGCTCTTTGCATGATAGCAAGCCCAGAACTGGTTAGTGAAAATGAGCTTATCGGAGAGCCTTTTGATAGCACTTTGAGCTGCCAATCACAGCCAAGTGAACTCTGCTCTGCGATCACATGGGGCAGAGAGCGGAGGAAAGGGATAGTGCCAGGATCACCTCAGAATCTGGCCTCTTGATTAACTTCCCCGCTGCTTGTGGTTGTTTCCCTCGTGCCTGCAGTCCCTGGAGCAGCCGCCTCATTCACTCACACACAAGCACCACGTTCCTACGCCTGGTCTCCCAGCCGCCAGTCAGCACAGGGGAGCCCTGCCTTGCAAACGTATCTAACGCAGTCCTGCGCCTGGCACCCTGCGCAGACAGGCAGCCGGGGAGGTGGTTGGGAAGGGGAGGGGGAGGAATGAGTGTCCCATGGCCTGGGAGACAGGCGCTCTCAAGCTGCCAGAGTCTAGCACAGTCTGAGCCTGGCCTGCCCATCTGAATGGCATGACGGCATGTAAGTAAACTCACAGAGACGCATGACCCTGCCCCGCAGCCTCTCCCAGGCACTTTGCCAGCCCACCTTCCTCCCTCCTCAGTGTCTCTGTGAGTCTACTTGCGGGGAAGGACGGCATGGCTGAACGACACAGACAGGACTTACCATATCGCCTTCTGCCAAGCAGGCCGAGACCGGAGTGCTGGCTGGCTTTCCCTAACCCACACCGGGTCGCTATGTGTCACTGGCTGGTCTGACAGTACAAGGGCAGGAGCCCTGAGCCCTGATGCACCCCGTGCCCAGGTGGAAACCAGGCTGCCTTTGCTCTGTCCTCCCTAACAGCCTTGTGGACACTTACTGGATTGGGCAGTTCTGGCTTCTAGAACTGGGGTGTACACCCCCAGCCCCAGCTCCGAACGGGCTCCCAGCTGGAACTTGTACAGCGTGTCAGGCTTGAGACCTTCCACCGCGTACGATGAGCTTGGGTCAAAGTTCACCTTGCGCTGGAAAACGGATGGGAGACTCCAGTTATTTTTCATGGTTAGAGAAGAGCAGATCAAGATTTCTCCCCGGGGATCAGCTCCCGAGGCTAGGGGGAGCCAGCGGCCACGCTCCCAGAACTGCCCCGAGCTCCTGAGCTCCCCATGCTGCCAAACACCCCTCCAGTGTCCCTGAGCTGCTTGAATTAAACCGCCACGACACCCCAGGGAAGTTACGGTGCTGCCCACGCAGCGCGCCTGTCTGCACAGCGCTAATTCCCTGCGCCAGGTTTTGGGAGCACCATTAAATACAGGCGTGAGACTCAGGACAGCTGGGTTCTAGTCCGTGCTCTGTCTCAGACTTGCACTGAGTCCTGGGGAGTCCCTGCCTGGCTGTGACATGGGGAGAAAGCCCCACCTCATGGACTGGCTAGTGTTTGTAGCAGGCCTGGAGATGCCCAGGCGGAAGGCGGGTCCCCTGGAGCGCTCCGTCAACATCTGTCCTGCAGGAAGGGCGAGTGGCTTGCTTACAGGAACTCACTGTTGTTCAGTGGAGTTCAGCCTGCAAAGCGACTGGTATTGTTTCTGGCAGAAACATACAGGGAACCGGACCACGTACACACGCAGCAATGGGACACCAGGGCTCTGGGTCTGCTGCACTGCCCCAGGGATAAATCTGAGATGGCTGCTTTGGGGTGGTCTTGATTGTTCCGAGGACCCAACATGGATTCTGGAGGGACTCTCCCCAGACACCTCCACATCCTTCTCCTGGGCTGCATGGCCGTTCCTGAAGGTCCAGCTGCCAAGGCCGTCTGGCCGCCAAAGCAGTTCTGGTCTTGGAGCCGTGCAGCCACGTTTTGTAGTCAATGTTGCAGCCCATTTGAAAGCTTTATTTTCATTACCCTGCACATGTCCCTTGCCAGCCCAGCACTAGGAATGCCTTGCTAAAACCCAGAGATCATTGCACTGTGCTTTCTCGAGGCACCAGAGCTTCAGATCACAGACCCCAGACTAACTCCATGGGAATCAACCCACGTGTTGGAGAAGCAATGTGTACGAGAGACAGGCTGAGATTAGGTTACATCATACGCTAAAGATGCAAGAGGGAGAAAACACTTCTGTTCCCGTCCTGCGATGCAGCAGCCCCAAGATACTCCAGCTACGGTAGCGGTGGCCTTTTCCCAGCTGCTGGATCATCACGCTCTGACCCTACTATTCATTGGCCGCAGCCAAGGCAGACTCCTCACCTGACTCCCATCCTCTCCTTCCCAGTACAGCAGCTCGTATTTTGTAATGCGTTCCTGTGAGGCTGGGAGCCACGTCAGCAGGATCCGGGTATCAGACTCTGCCTCTGCCTGGAAATCAGCTGGCTGGGCTGGAACTGGGGACCAATACGATACAGTTAGTGATGGCCTGGGTGCTACAAAGGGCGGCAGAGACTCTGCTCCCATAGGCTGAACCGGGCCCTGGAAAGGATCTTCGGTATTTAACCTTGGCCCTCAGGCCAGGCGACGAGTCCTTCCGGCCAGGCCGGTGACGAAGGGTGTGCGGGCGGTGGAGCTGAAAATCCAGCTCGAGCAGACAAACCCGCTTGAGCTCTCCCCGAGTTAGCACACTAAAAACAGTCGTGCAGCCCGGCGCTGGGAGGGGCCAGCGACCCCAGTACGATCCCGTCCAAAAACCTAGGTACGTGCTCGGGCGGCCAGCCCCTCCCGCTGCTCCACGGCCATTTCTAATGCACTCGCTCAGCCAGAACTTGTGTGCGTCTGTCTGTCTGCTGGAGCTGGGAATCACTTCGTCCAGCTCCAGCACAGACCCACCAGAGCTACCCAGGCCATGCTCATTCTAGTCACTGATTCAGTCCGCACCCTAGGCCTCTTCCATTGCACAGACATACCCTCCCAGAGAGAGCCCGCACGGCAGCAGGGGTACACACCCCGTGTGCTACTCGGCCTCCACGGGGGTCCAGCCAGAGTCCAACACAAGTCGGTACAGTCGTTATTTCTGATGAAATTGACACAGGTTCCCCCTGACACGCACTAACAGTGTGAAGCTGCTGTCTCTGGCACTGAGCTGTTACTCTGGCACGTGACTGGTAAAGCACCCAGCGGGGCTCAGAAGCCCGGTAAACAGAAGGCGCCCTGCAAAGCAGCATGCAGGGGGCGGAGCGCAAGGGACACGCAGCACTGGGAGCAGGACGGCAGCACTAAGAAAGAAGGTTTCATACATACCCCCCTGCTGAGTTTTGACCTGGATGATGTCCGAGGGAGGCCCATCTCCCACGGAGGTGAAGGCCAAGACACGGATGCTGTAGGTGGTCCCTGTGATCAGGCTGCCCACAGTGGTGAGGTGACTGTCGTCTGTGTTGTGTTTCTGCCACATGCTCAGAGGCAGATGGGGGTCCGTAGTGTAGTAAACCCGGTACCCTCGGATCTGTCCGTTGGGCTCCTCCGGCTGCTCCCACTGCACAAGCATGGTGCTGGCGCTCAGCATCCGCGCCTGGACCTTCAGGGGCGGGCTGGAAGGAGCCTGCTCTCCGGTCCGGGCCTCCACCAGGTCGCTCGGAGGCCCCCGCCCGATATTATTGACGGCAATGATGCGGAACTCGTACTCCGAGAACGGGCTGAGGCCACCAATGCTATAGCGGGTTGTCGCTACGCCGTCCACCTCCTGAAACGGGCCCTCCCAGGACTTGGGCTTGTACTGGATGACGTAGTAAGAGATGGGGTCGGAGTTGCCAGAGTCCCAGGTGAGGGTCACGCTGGTGGCTGTCGTCTCAGTCACTAGTGGCTCCGTCGGTGGCTTCGGCAGCGCTGGGATTGGAAGGAGAGAGAAGCATTTTAAATAATTCAGTCAGCTCAACTCCTGTAATGTGCAGAGGGATAAAAATGGAGCTGCCACCTCCCATTAACATTCTTCTTTAAAAGGCAGAAATCATTTCATACTCTGAAACATGCATTTTTATATCGTCATATATTGCATGAAGTGGTTCTTAATGGGAGGATAAACAGAGCAATCATGTTATTAGACGTGCTTGAAGCACTTGCCAGCAGCAGGCTAAATAAAGGTAATTTAAGAGGGATGCAGGAATGCTTGTTGTCGGGGTCTTGAGCTGGCCGTTGAAAGGTGCTCACCTGGGCTAGGCTGCACCCCCAGGAGCAAGCTTCACAAAGGGACGCAGTAAAACGGCCTAAACACCACACATAATCTGGGGCCACGCCACTAACTCCACAGAGACAACATGCTAGGCTGCAGGGAGCTCATGGGAAGTGCAGTTAGACGGGCGGATGATAAGGATGCCTGGTAAGTATTACAGTACATGCAGCCAGAGAAATTACCAACTTTTACAGCCATTATTTCACAGGGTGGCATGTCAAACTGTAATCAGACAATATATTGGGCCACAGGAATTCTGACACTGAGATCACTGAAGTGTTAACATAAGAATGGCCATACTGGGTCAGACCAAAGGTCCATCTAGCCCAGTCTCCTGTCTTCTGACAGTGGCCAATGCCAGGTGCCCCAGAGGGAATGTACAGAACAGGTAATCAAGTGATCCATCCCGTCGCCCATTCCCAGCTTCTGGCAAACAGAGGCTAGGGACACCATCCCTGACCATCCTGGCTAATAGCCATTGAGGGACCGATCCTCCATGAACTTATCTAGTTCTTTTCTGAACCCTGTTATAGTCTTGGCCTTCACAACATCCTCTGGCAAAGGTTAATGAGATCTGCAGTTGCTGCAGCACAACATTTCCAGAGTTGCCACTTTACCAGATGAACAAAGCGAGGGAAATCTGCAGAGCATTAAGCTAATAAGTGAATTAAAGTGTCCAGTAATGAAGTCTCCGATGTACTGGCCCAGGTAACTGGTTATTAATTATTTGTGTTGCAGTAATGCCCAAGTCTGAGCAAAAAAGAACTGACACCCTGTTCCAAAATGAGTGCCCAACTATCTTGATTTGAAGAAAAGCAATCCAGTTCTAAGTCAGACATCTGATGTTTGATCAGAAAGTTACAGAAAGCCCCCCTGGAACGTACAGCCGAATAACATCTGCTCTTCAGGACAGAACCACGTCTGTGTGGGTTTGTGCAGCTCTGACCACCCTGGGAACTGGATTCTGACTGTGGCCTCAGGGTGCTACTGCAACATAATGTTAAATCACTGTTGATGCTGACTCGGTCCTGGGCATGCTGGTGGCAGGCACAGGCTCTCCCCCAACGAGTCACATAACTTGGGAGTATTTTGAGAGGGTGAAGCATTCCTCCCGATATCTCAGCCCTGGGAATCACACGTTCCCGGGGGACAGGTGAGTACTGATTTCCAGAGGCAGAGATGGGACATGTGATAGATACTTTGGATGGCCCCTAAGAAGAAATCTAGTTAGTGCATTAGCATGCAGGCCGGTGTGTAGGAGCACTGAAGTTAAGGACACACTACATGGAACCAGTGGTTTAGGGGGGAGGGATAGCTCAGTGGTTTGAGCATTGGCCCTCTGAACCCAGGGTTGAGAGTTCAATCCTTGAGGGGGCCATTTAGGGATCTGGGGCAAAAATCTGTCTGGGGATTGGTCCTGCTTTGAGCAGGGGGTGGGACTAGATACCTCCTGAGGTCCCTTCCAACCCTGATATTCTATGATTCTATGAACCACATAGTTTGCTAATTTATAATGGCGTTTCACCAGCACTGACCATACACATCTTCTCCTCCGCCCAGTGTCAGACCTGCTCTTCTGCCGGCACCAGATGAAATGACACTGTGGTGCCTAGGAGAACACGCAGCCCAAGAGGGAGGTGGAGAAATGGAGTGGAAGGGGCTTAAAGATCTTTGCTCCTAATGAGAAGTGAGCAGGAAGCCCTAGGCCCCTTCAGAGCTTGACGTGTGAGGGCTTGAGTTTCTGTTCCAGATGCAGCCCTGTGTTAAACAGCAGGTGTCACCTTCTACCACCCAGGTGTGGGCAGAGCAGAGCAGGCAGCGGACAGGGACTAAGGAGTTAATATGAAGAGCAGTCAGTGCTGCCGAGCTGTGCCTGCCACCCCCTCTATGCTCTCCTCTCAGCTGGACATGGTATTGGCAGGGAGAAACTCAAACCCAGGGATGGGGCAGGGACCGAGTGACGGGTAATGCAAGGAATGGCTGAGGGTTTAAAGGTTTTTGCGAACAGTATCTGGAGAAGGAGAATTTGTGTTGAACTCCCAGGTCGAAGGGGACCAAGTCTCAGTTCCGGGGCATTGTTTGAGCAAGGCCTTGGTGCTAAAAGGGGGCCGGGAGACAGTAGGGGCTTGTGAGGACAGATCGATGTAAAAGAACAATGCGCCTGTGGAAATGAGAGTTACAGCCTGCCTGCTGGGGGAGGAGGGCAGGGCTGTTCTGGGCCTGCCTGCCTGGGCACTAGCTGGAGATGCAGAGCCAGAATCTCAGGCCGAATGCAGGCGCAGGGCTCTGCATCCACAGGAATCGATAGTGAGGTGAAGGAAACGCCTGTCAGTGTTACAGCAGGAACCACACCTTAGAGACAGTGCAGGATGGGAGGAGGGAGGCAGAGAGAGGGCAAGAAAGAGGGGTGGAGGCTGAGGGCATAGCGGGCAGTTGAGCTCACTCACCAGTGAGTCCCTATGCACACAGCCCAAGGGCATCGCACCGGGTTTATCCCTGTTTAAAATGGGTCCCTTGACAAGGAGGAGGGTTGGGTCACGGGGCCTCAGGGTGCCCTTCCTAAGACGCAGCTGCAACCTGCCAGGGGTTGAGCCAGGCCTCGCTGGCTGGAGACCTGAGTCAGAATTCCTCCGGAGAAACAGACCCTGGAGCCCCAGTGATGCCTCTTGGCACATCAGGGCCTGTCCACAGGCAAGCAGCCTCCCACACTCTCCCTTGCCAAGGGAGGCGTGGGCTCCACGCACAGGGAGAGGAGACAGGGCCGCTGGCGGGAACAGTCAAATCTAAGCTGGAAAACAAATGGAAAAATCAGGTGGCGGGTTGTGAATTTTCTTCCTGAGCAGCAGGGCCATGAGGCTGCCGTGCCCCTGCAGTGTACAGAGTGCACCCAACGGCAGTCCATGGAAGGACAAGGCACTTCCACACCCCTCTGAAAAGCAGCAGAGCTGGGGGGGCTGTGCCGTGTCTTACCTTTGACAGTGATCTGGGCCGTGGCTTCGATCATGCCTAGAGAGGACATGGCCACGCAGGTGTAGCTGGCAGACTGCACAATGTTGTTCAGTTCCAGGACATTCCTGCCGACAGGCATCTCATCTTCTTTGGTCAGTTCCTCCACGCCAGCCATCCACTTCACGTAGGGCATTGGTGCGCCCACTGCCACACACGTGAGGTTCACACTCCCCCCAGGCATCACCTCGTGGTTGCTGGGAGGGATCGAGAATCGAGGTGCGACACGCCGCACTGTAACAAGGAGGAGACAGTTAGTGGTGTCACTGGATCGGCATGTGGCACTCAGCTACAGCAAGGGGATTCGACATTTTCACGGACAGGGCGTATATCTATCCATAGAGATAGATATAACGAAGCACAAACGCTGTTTGCTGCTTTGTCAAATTGCACACACGCTGCTCTCCTTCCTTAGCCACTGGCATCTTATTAGAACCACTCATTAAGGGCTGGCCCATCCACTCCCCCCAAAGTGAGGCTATTACTAACATGAACCAGCCCCCCATTTACATTACATCCCTCTAATTGGAAAGCATGCACAAATGCCACTCACACGCTCTCTTTGTACAGGGCCCACTGAAGCTCTGAAAAGTGGAATTACCTGCTCAATTTATTAGCTTCGAGCAACGCCACCCGCTCCCTACACCTCACAGGGCTTGGGCGGGGGGGGGGGGGGGGGGGAGGGGGGGCAATTTCTGAATTAGCACTGGGGTTACTGCAGAAAAGGAAACCGTCGCCAGAGCTGCATGGCAATGTCACAGCCTGACCCGATCACCTTGCTGGGCAGGAAACAGTATTCCTGACAGCTGTGAGATCACAGCCATTTCGACAGGCGAGCGCTGGGTTGCCAGAACCCGTCCCACCTTTGGGGCAGCACTTTGGGAGACCTATTTCTCCTTATTTCATCGCAAAGCATCTCTCCATAGCAATCTCTTGCAGGGCATTTCATCCAAGACTTATTTGTAAGCAACTCTCAGCTACAATAAAGCTCTAAAGCTGCCAGCCGTATGCATTCCAGTCCGAGAAATGACACTGAGAAACGAGGCCCCTTCTGCGGGGTTGGTGTTATGGGCCTACTTAAGCAGGGCTGGAGAAACACAACTGTGTCCCGTAAATCTCTGTCTGCTCTGGGCTAATGTGGTTTGGTGTGTAGTTAAAAAGGGAAACCGCCTGAACGTGTCTCGCCTGGAACCCTCGCGCTCCCCAGCCTTCTCCACTGGAAAGGAAATGTCAAAGCCCAGGGAAGGTTCACGACTGACTCACTCACACGGAGCCATCCATTCCCAATTACTCTCAATCAGTGCAACCACGGCTGGCAGAGCAGCGAACAGTCACAGAGCGGGATCTTCAAGGGAATCCCGGTAGCTCCAGGTCCCAGCACTTTGCCCGGGGAGTTGGAAGGACTCCCTGATGCAGGGCCCGTGGGGAGCACGGTGGCACTGGGCATCGTCCCACATCAGCCCTGGCACTGCAAAAACTCTTTGGAAATTGCGCAGCGGCTGACAGGCTGACGCGCCTCAGCAGCATCAGCTCAGTCTGACAGGCTGACTGCCTAATCCCATTTCACTAGCACTGCTCTTTGATGATTCATTCCCAAATCAACAGACTTGCAGAAATAGACTGAACACAGAAGCCCCCACGCTAGATGTACAACAGAGCTATGACTTGGTGATAAATTAGACAATGCTGTCAACAATGTGTGTGTACTACACATCTTCGTGGAGACAAAACAGGGCTCATTAGCTCCTTACCAGCCAGGGGGAAGGATAACGTGTGCTTTTTAAGATGTCTAAATCCAAAGTCTTGCTGGTAGTTTCTTTTAATCAATTATTAAATCCCAAATCAACAGCTACACGTGTGATCGCCAGTGAGGCGCTACCTGCCTGACAGGGGAGCGCTCCCCCAAGCAGACAGAAATGAAACTCTCCTAGAGCGCTACACAGTCATGAGAACACCGCGCGTACTCGATGGACATGGCAATGGGTTTAACATGATGGTGTGTTTTCACTCAAAGCGCCCCAGCACCGTTCCTTAGGAGGCAGGTTCCATTTTCCAATGAACATGGTGCGGAATTCTTTCAGCCAGTCGCTGTTTGGACTGGGTCCCAGTGCAGGGACAGCAACCTCCCTGCACCTCCCGCATTTTCAAAAGGAAGAAAAATGAGAGAGAAAAGCTGTAGGTCTGCACAGAGCATTTGTTCATGCACCTGACATGCACCAGGCAGGCAAGAGAGGCCGGGATGGGGTCACAAAGCGAAGGGAATGAGCTAAGAGGGATGCACACTGACTCAGGTATGCAGACACTGGACAATGGAAAACACCGAGTGCGACTTCTCCCCGAGAGGCCATGCAGGAGGGTTGGAGTCTCAGAAAACCCAGCATGCAGAAACAGCCCTCAAACCCAATCCTGTGAGAATAGGGCTAGAACGGCCTCTGTTGCCACCCCATAGACAGGGCCCCTGTTACAGACACAATTGCTCCCCAACCTATCCCCTGCCATTCACTTCAGGCTCAGAGAGCCTTGGGCCCCACTGACATGTAGCCCTCAGACTTGAGTCCCTGGCTCTCCTTTGTCAGAGCGAGGAATGCTGTCAGCCCTTGCTCGGAAGGAACACAGCTTGTGAATCTGCCGATAAACGCCTCCGTTCATTCCGCAGCGTGCTATGGAGAGAACCTCTGGCCCCTTTTCAAAGCTGCTGTTTACTATGCTGTCGGCAGGGGAAGAGAAAAGGCTGCTAGACAATATACTGGAGATGGGGGTCTGCGTGCCTAGGGACAGGATGAATGGCAAAGAAAATACTCTCTCCTCCCCTCTCCAGAGCGGATCAATACAAGGAAAAGGTTTCTAGGCAAACCCTTGTCCTTGAGTGACAGTCGCATAGGCTGGTGGGGCAGGGAGATGGCCCCAGGAGGCCTCTTGGTTACATCTTAGCACAATTTCTCCTTTACTTAAAGGATTGTTGTCCCCCCCCCGGCCATGTGTGCATTGCTTGAATGCACTGTTCCTCCATCCTAGGTGGGAACAGCTCCTCACCCCTCCTGAGGGCTCAGCAGCTGACTGCAGATGCCCCGTTACGCTGGGTCACACTGAGTGTTGCAAGGCCGTTCCCACCAATGCTGGACATGGGTCTAGCTGCTGACAGACCGGCCACTACTCGACAGCCGGGAAGATGGGTGGAAAAACAGCACTGCCTTTGTTCTTCTCCTCCCACACTCTGCTTCCCTTGGACCAGGGGCCCTAGGGACCCCCTCTGCCTGTGGCCTCACTCCACAGAGGGGTTGTGCTGGCCTCACCGCGACAAAGAGGCCAAAACGGCCTGGGCAGCAGAATCTGTGCAGAATTTGCACCAGGTTAAAATTACCGCAAAAGAGAAGCAACAGGAATTGACAGAACGTCCTGGGGCACTAGGGAAACTGGCCATCAAACCAGGGAAAGGCCGGGCCCATGAAGGCCCTGCAGTGTGCCCTGGAGGTGAACCAGCCAGGGTTCTGCAGACCAGTGGGCAACCGAGGGCCTCTGTTCCCTCCCAATCCCCCGCTGCACCCCCGCCAGGCCTCAGTGTCTGGGCATGTCTAGCTGGAGTGCCCAGGGAGAGCTGATCTGCCCACACCTCACGGTGGTACCGAGAGCAGCCAGCAGCCGGTACTGGCAAGGAGGCTCCATCGTGCGCTCACACCTAGGACGTGAGGAGATTAACCTGGCCTCCTAAGTTTACTTCTGAGAGACTGATTCAGTTTTGCTGGTGACGCACTGAGGAACTGCCACAAAGCTGGCCCCCTCCCTCACCAGAGCGGGGCTGGGAAATCAATGGTGGGCTCAGCTGGGCTCCCTGCTAAGTGGAGTGAGGGGCAGCATCCTTTCAGTTACACCTTCTCGGCTAGTAACAATGGATACCAGAGCTGAGCTTTTAAACAAGGGTGGGGGGAAAAGAAAGAGGGGGAGGCTCGGAGATGCCTTTAGTTACGAATCTGGCCATGATTCTAATCTAGCCAGACCGTCGGTACGGGAAATACAGGAGATGAACTCTCACACAAACCAGCACATCATCTGGCGATAATTGGCTGCGTTTTTGAGTGGCTGGTCCAGTGGGACAAGCAGAGCTGCTGTCAGTTAGCATTACAGAGAGCGGGTAGAGCTCTCATAGAAACTTACATAGCACCCACACATGCTGTTCTGGCTCAAGCCAGTTCTGTAAGTCTCTTGCTTCCCCTAGCATAAGAACCCACTAATAATTTAAACCAGCATAACTCCCTCGAAGAGCAGCTCTCCAGAAATGTAAACCAATTTACAAGTCAAATCACAACAGCTAGTGCAGCCTGTGATGCCACCTAAACGCTTTGGAAATTGTTGTTACTCTCCATTTCTTGCAGTAACTTCCTCCCTTTTTTACTACAATTTTCTTGACAAGAATTTGCAATTTTTTTTTTAAATCTTCTTTTTGGATCAAGATCAAAGAAGGTGGTTTGGAGGTTTTGCAAGAACAGCATGGGGGAAATTGCTGTGCATATTAAAATGATTTCAACGGACAATAGTATCATTCAGAGGTTCATTTAAACCAGCAGACTGTCAAAAATGAGATTCATTGCCATTCATCCCAGGACTGGGCCTCATGTAAGGCTGCATAACGCAGAGCAATTCAGCAAGTTTCCCCCTTTGGGCGTCCTGCCTGGGAGGGAAAGTGAACCCCAAAGTGGTAAATCACCCAATGCAACCTGAGCCATTGCTCTGGATCATACAGGAGAGGGTGAAAGGACCGTGCAGCACCGTCCAGCAGCACGTTTTCCGAGGAGCTGTGGGAGAAACAAGCAACACCACAGCGCAGACGGAAGAGACTGAGAAGGGTTAATAATTTAGCATGCATTAGCGTGCACATTCCCTGCAGCTGGTGCAAAGAGCCTGGATCGATTGCCCTGCTCCTTTCACCCCTGGAGCGGCTGTTCCTCCAAGTCTCTGATTCTGTGAGAGAGTGACCTCACCACCCGAAGAGCCCGCAGGTCTACCCTCCTCTCTCTGCTCCCCATTCAGCCTAGGAGACTCCGGGCACCAACCAAGGGCTTCACACACTCAAGGGTTAACCAAGACCTTTAGAGCCATCACATCTCTCATGTGCTGGAGCAGAGCAGGGCCCCAGTGGAAATGCTACAGAGTGTGTGTGGGGAGGGGGCAGACTTCCAAAGTGAAACAAGGGCGGCAGCCCAGGGGAGGGGGAAGTGAAGCTGTCTTTTCCCACTAGC